CACTGAATACATTCAGCCACAAAATGCACCATAGACTCTATGATGTAATTACCGCAACACAATAATGCAACAATCAATACAACTTAATCGAGAAAGTAATGGAAACGTAATTATACTCAATATACCATAACAGCTTTTAAAGTTCATCAGCTACAGGCATTTTACAACAACAAAAACAACAAGATTCCATTTATAGAGCGCCTTTCACGTCGGAAGGACGTCCCAAGGCGCTGTACAGTTGGGTCAGGACCCGAGCAGGGGGGAAATGGTCAGGGTGAGGGGAAGGAAGGGAAGGAGCGAGGAGGGGGTAGGGAGTCGAGAGGGGAGCTGAAGGCACGGTCAAAGAGAAAGGTCTTGAGACCGGCCTTGAAGGAGGAAAGGGAGGAGGCGGCGAAGGCACTGGGGGATAGAGTTCCAGAGCCTCGGGCTGAGAGGCTGAAGGCCCGGCCACCGATGGTAGGGCGGTTTGGGCGGGGGATGTGGAGCAGACCGGAGCCAGAGGAACGGAGGGTATGGGCAGGTAAGTAGGGGGATAGTAGGTCAGAGAGGTAGGAGGGAGCAAGGCCGTGAATGGCCTTGTAGGCTAGGATGAGGATTAGATCAAATGGTGGAAGCATCCCACTTTTTTTTAAGGGGAATTAGCCTTTCTTAATACCAAAGGGATAGAATATTATGTATGGAGAGAAATCTGAGAAATCATCTTTTTTCATCTATTGCAGGTTACTTGGTTTCCATCTCTCTTTATAATACCTTGTCTTGCTTTTCTCTGTGCATGTTCTCACTCCTTTATTTAATTCACCTTTCAACAGATTGTTAATGGCCGTAAACGAAAAAGCTGTGCGAGACAGGGAGAAGATAGTCAACTAGCCAAGACAACAACAAATCAATAAGCAAAGGATTTGACAGAGAATTGGATGGAGAAAACCACAGACAGCTGGGAATGCAGGAGATGGCCAGAATGTAAGTAGAGCAGAAAAACAGATTATAATGACAACAACAACTTGCGTTTATATAACGGCTTCACAAAAGGTAGCTTGGAATTGGATCACAGGAACAAGCACACAAGAAACTATTCTACATTATTTGCAAATGGTCACATAAGCAGGAGCATATTGTTTTTAGCAGGGAAACCTTCAATGCAGAAATTGTGCAATTCGACAGTTCTCAACGAAAAAGTTTATGAGATTTCCCTTTCACCTCATGCACTGGTTCTGTTTGAACACAAATAGTATATCTCTTAATGTAAAGTTCATTCATTATTCAGGGTACAAATCCAAAGTATATCCAATAATTATTTTGATAGCTCTTTGAAAAAGATGTTGTTGTTGAAGACAAAGGATACAAGACTAAAATCGTTCAGAATGGTGAGCAACTTAATGGGAGGTGAAAATGCAATTTTTTTTAAACAGATTTCATGTTTTATTGAATCTGTTAAGAAACACTGTAGTTTTCACCTCCATATCAATAATTTCTATTGGAAGTCTTTCCTTTTTAACTTTGGTGAACACAATGCAATATAATTTACCTTGATATAGCGCCTTGACATTGGGAGAATATTACATTAAAAATGGATGGCATAAAGTGCATTTATTTTATTAATATCAATATCCGATCTGGAGTGACAATGTTTTCCTGCACTCCTATTTTAGTAACTAATTTTATTTCCTCATTTGCTTTCCCTTTCTCTAGTTGTCCAGCACCCCTGATGAGAGTATAGCTAGAGGACTGCCCTTCATCAGTAGAGCTAAGGATTCAACCACAGGGAATGTGCACAAGAACACCCTCCAGTCATGAGGTCTGTTTTTTCTCTTTTCTTTTCAAGAACCATCTGCCATCCATAAGGCATCTCCCCTATAGCACAATGGCTGAGTTAACACATTCACTAAAGGAGTTGTATCTCTTAACTAGCATTCTTAAATTACTGAGTCCATTGCACCACCAATAAGTCGTGTCTCAATGTTATTCCCAATCAGCACAACCTGATGCAATGTTTATTATAGTAGCATGCATTTTCATGAATGGAGGAAGCAGCTCTGCTTTATTTATGCTATAGAGCCCAACCCACATCAGGAATTCTTCATGTGGGACAACAAGAGAGAACCAGTGGGTGTCTATTCACAGGGCACTCTGGTAGTGTACCACCTTATTTTTACAGGCAATGTTATTCTCATGTCAGAACTTGAATTAAGACTTTGAATTTCTTGTCTATGTTCCAAAGCAGAATTGTTTTATTCCTACACGGTAAACTCAAACCTACCCACACATTCTGCCATTCATAACATTCCTCTCTTGAACAGGAAAAAGGTAAAATAATGGACCTGTCTATCTGCCTGAATGCCCAAGTCAAATTTTCTGAAGCAAGAAAACTCAGCAATGCCTTCAAAGATCTTCAACAATATTTCAAACAATTCCCTCCCCCAGGAGAACTATTTGCTTTCAAACTTGGGTTAGTTCTGATAATAAAAAAAGAAATTGAAGGAAGAGCCAGTAACACATGAAAATAAATTAAAAATAAGGAATGCAGATTCACAAGATAGTGGCAAAAATCTTTTACAACTATCATTATTATATTCATAATATATTTCACCTGAAAGGATGACAACCCTTCCTGTTTAGATTTATTACACAACAAAAATATTACATGTGTGAGAAGGTTCTCTACGTTTGTATTAGATTTTCCCAGGTGATTTTGTTTTACACACATGCAGAAGAGATGCAAATGATCGTGTTTGAGTTCCTGTTTGTGGGTTGTATTGAGTTTTCATGACTGCTATCAATGCCTTTTCCATTCCATTGACTGAGAAATACAGAAGTGCAGTTCCTTTTTGCTGAGTTTTACCACTAAATAAATGCTGAATAAAGGATTCCATCACTTACAATATTGGAAACTGAAAACCTTTGCAATTAAATGCTGCTGTGTTTGATGCATGGATGAAGGGAGGTCAGATCAGGTAACAAGAATGTGGTTCGTGGAAGTAATCACAGAACAAAATGTTAGGATGGATTTCTGCCTCGGCACAATCCTTGAGGCAAGCGGTCAAATCAAACATTTCTGAGAAAAGCAGATTAGACACTACCGTTTAACCTGCTTGGAAATAAAAAAAAGATTTAACCATATTATCAGCTAAGATTAAAGAAATGGTTTGTAATCACAGTGACAGGGAGTGCTCCCAGTCAACAAATGGGACATGTTAATTGAAAACTGGGCCATATGGAATCATTTAGATTATGGGAAAGGATTGTTTGGACAGATAACTGCAGAAGAATTACTCACGACAAATCTAAGCACAGTAGGTATTCATGCTTCGAGATTAGGAAATGATAAAAGTTTAGCTTGAACCGTTTCCCATTGACCTGCATAACGTAGGGGCTCAGTAAGCGAAGCTCAGCTATAACAGAGCCAATCTTAATGTAAAACATCTGCAGTTATAATAATAATATAATAATAATCCTTGCATTTGATATAGCGCTTTTCACGTCTTCTGGTCGTCTCAAAGCGCTTCACAGAATATGCTGTAAAGTGAATTGACCGTATATTTGTGGGCGAAACACGAAAGCCGATTGCGCACAGCAGTGTCCCAGGAACAGTGATGGATTATTAGTTATGTACAACAGCTACAACTCATCACTGAATGGTGTTGCCCAACGCTAATTACTAGGAGGAAACTGGCACATCCCTGGGCTCTTTCAGATAGATATATAGGCTCTTAAAGGACATCTGTCAGTTACACAACCCAAGTGGTGAACTGTGAAGCTCGCTGTTGTCCCAGAAACTCCTACAGTTTGGAGTCCTGTAGCTCAGTGGTTAGAGCACTCGCTTTGCAAGTGAGAGACCCGAGTTCAATTCCAGGCAGAGGGCGAAACCTTGGGCAAGTTTCCTTACTCCACACGACTAATAATAATCCCTCCAAAAAAACCAAAAACAATAATAAATTGGTCACTTTCAATCCACGACTGTTTGTGGGACATTGCTGTGCGCAATTGGCTGCCGCCTTCGCCCACAAATATACAGTCAATTCACTTTACAGTGTGTTCTGCGAAGCGCTTTGGGACGTCCTCCCGACGTGAAAAGCGCTCTATCAAATGCAAGGATTATTATTATTAATATTAGTATTATTACATACGATGCACTGGGCTCAGAAACCGCATCGGAGTGTGCAGGTCGGTGCTGGGGGGGGGGGGGGGGGGAGAGAGATGGCGTGTGTGTGTATGTGTGTGTATGTGTGTGTTTGGAGACGACACTTAACCATAACCCCCCCCCACCCCCCCACCACCACTTCGCTCCGGAATGTATTTTCAGAGGTATTTTCTTTTAAAGAGGCGGTTCACAGAACGGTGGCGTTTGGGAACCGGGAAATCCTGGAGCATCGCTGGGAATCAGTGACCCCCCGACATCTGCCCCACAGACCACAGACAACACACACAGACACACACACAGACACAGACCACACACACACACACACAGAGAGAGAGAGAGAGAGAGAGAAAGCGCCGCTCTTTTGACAACGACCCCCCCCCCAAAAAAAAGTGTGCGGCGGTTCGAGGGAAAGTTAAAGGCGGAAAAGAAAAGAAGCTTTTTTATACGTGAGCTCGAAAGCTGATGGGAATAAATACTGAGCGATTTGAAACGACCCCGAACGATTGCACGAGCGCTGCAAAGTTTGGGTCAGAGACGTGCGGCCGCTGTGCGTGCGATCGGTTAGCGGGTTATCCGCAACGGTGCGATCGTCCTTCCACACACACACACACACGCACACACACACCCCCTCCCGGGAGGGACCGCAGGTCTCAGTCACCGTAACGTGGTCGAACCCGCGTTGCCTTTCTCGCCGGTGATGTCCCTCACGCGTCAATACTAAAAAGGGGGGAAAAAAAATCTCATCCCCTCTCCACAAAACACACACACACACACACACACATTTATTTCATTCCCCCCCCAACGTTTAACCCGACAGCGGGAGCGCCGCACCGGGACCCGCCGCCCCGCCCCGCAAACTTACCGATACGGAGGACTTGTTGAGAACTGTGCGAGAATCCTACGCAGCAGATGTACAGTGAGAGGCGAAGTGCCGCGTTTGCAGCCCCGAAAATCACCGCCCGGTCGCGGCTCGTGGCTGTCTCCATCGCGTGTCCCCTCTCCCGCACACTCGGGGCTGGCGATCCGCTCCCGCTCCGCACTCCGCTCCGCACTCCGCTCCTACACCGAACGGCTCTCTGGACGGTATGTGTTGGGATCCGACTCTCCGCGACTGCTCTCCCATTCCATCGCGTGTGTGTGAGTGAGTGTGTGTGAGAGTGAGTGTGAGTGTGTGTATGTGTGAGTGAGTGTGTGTGTGAGTGAGTGTGTGTGTGAGTGAGTGTGTGTGTGAGTGTGTGTGAGTGTGACTGTGTGTGTGTGTGTGTGAGTGTATGTGAGTGTGTGAGTGTGTATGTGAGTGTGTGAGTGTGTATGTGAGTGTGTGTGTGTGAGTGTGTATGTGTGAGTGTGTGTATGTGAGTGAGAGTGAGTGTGTGTGAGTGAGTGTGTGTATGTGTGAGTGTGTGAGTGTGACTGTGTGTGTGTGTGTGTGTGTATGTGAGTGTGACTGTGTGTGTGAGTGTGTATGTGTGAGTGACTGTGTGTGTGAGTGAGTGTGTGAGTGAGTGAGTGTGAGAGGCACCGCTGCTCAGACAGAGCTCTCAGGGGCTACAGTGCAGTGATCGGCTGCCCCTCCGCTCCTCTGCCCCTCATCACTGCACCAAAGCCGCACACATATCCTGTGCGGTGCACCCAACCCACGCACCGCGCTCGGCTCTCTGGGCTCGGGGTTGGAGCGGATGGTTATTTGTGCGTCTCCCCCCCCCCCCACCCCCCCCCACCCCTCCCCCGGGTCGGGTCTGAGCGGCGGGGACAGCCCCGGGGAGAGACCGGGACGGTCAGTGAGTGCGGTGTGAGATGGAGTGAACGCAGCCCCTCAGCAGAGATCAGCCGCCGCACCGCAGTGCCAACCGGAGAGAGAGAGAGGTCCCGAACTCACAGCCTTCACCAACCCATCACTTACAGTCACTTCCAGATCGGAGCGGAGTGCTGATACCATCCTGGGGGGGGGGGGTTGGGGGTCGGGGGGGGTGGGGGGGGGGGGGAGAGATCACACCATCTCCTTTAATACTCATTCTCACCGATGACACCGCTTTGTCTTGAGATAAATCCCCAATCATTAAAAAAAAATACACTGATCAAAAAAAAATCTCACCCCAACATCACTGTCACTCGACTTCGAGCTTTGCTTAGTTTTAAGAGAAAAGGGGGTCCCTTAATCATCTGTGTGCAACAGAAATAATGGCTCGATTCAGTCCAAGTCCTGTCCTCTCCAGTGGTCCAGGAGCATCTGAGCTGACAGTTACTGTCAATTGGGCTTTGGCAGAATTTTGTATTTGTTTCCAGTCATTTGAGTCCAAACTAATTGAGAGAATTGGAAATGAGGAGTCACAGAAACAGAACTGCTTACGTTACCCTTTCCCTGTAACCTCGCTGTTAAGTTAACCAGTGCCATAGGTGTTATACAATATGCTTGAAATGTTTAAAAGCTGTCTTTTTTTTAAAAGAAAAAAACACTTTAGTATTTTGGGGAGTGAAGTGAGTGGCAGATAGATAGACACCTGAGCGCCTGCTGGTTGGGTTACCTGCCACTCGTAAGGAATGATTCTCCAAGTGTTGATTCCTTCATTGAGTTTGGCAGCGGAAGCCATTGGTATTGGCACTCTACAAATGTAACTTGCTGTGTGCTGATTAAAGCCATGGTCAACGACAGGTCATCTCTCCCCTAACCCCCCGCCACTAAGGTGTCCAGCCAGCTATGTAAACACTTTGAGACATATCCCTAATGTGACGTGAAAAGTGCTGTGTAAATGTAATTATTCTGCAATGTGTAAATGCACCGCTTTCTTTCACCTCCACCAATACGTCGCCCATCTCTGACAATACCTCACTCCAAAAGTTGCTGAAACTCTTGTCCATGTCTTTGTCACCTCGCAGCTGGACTACTCTGACGCCCTCCTCACCGGTCTCCCCTCCACCACCATTCACAAATTTCAGCTCATTCAAAACCTCGCATTTTCACCCGCACCAACCTTCGTACCCTGATTACCCCAGTCCTTGCCAAACCCCACTGGTTCCCTGTCACAGAGCGGATCAACTTCAAGATCCTCACTCTAGTGCTTAAATCCCTACATTCCTTGGTACCGCCCCAATCTCTCTAACCTCCTCTCTCCCCACGGCAGTACCTGTTGCCTCCGCTCTACTGGGTCCTGCTTCCTCCATGTCCCCTGAATCCCCCGCTCCACCATCGGTTGGCCGTGCCTCCAGCCACTACATCCCAAAACTTTGGAACTCCCTCCCTCAACCCCTTCACCTCATCCCCTCCTTCCCCATCTTCAGGTCGCGCCTATGGTCACTTTTTCGACCGCGCCTATGGTCATCTTCCCCCTGACCCTGGCTCGGCCTTGGGCTCCACTATTGTTAAGCGCTCTGAGGCATCACCCGGCGTGGAGGGTGCAGTATAAGTGCAAGTTGTTGTTGTATTGTGTAGGTTTTTAAGAGGGTTTTGAAGGCAGGGAGAAAAGGCATAAAGTAAGGATATTTTCAAGGAGAATGCTGGAGAGTGGAACATACTGGTCAAAGGCTTGGATAGGAACGAGTGAGAAATGAACTGTAGGCGAGAGGCAGAAGAATAGAGGGTACAGGCAGGAGAAGAGGAGACTGGTCACCTTCTCCTCTGTTAGCTTATACCACCCAGGTTGGTAAATTGTATTGCGCAGTGAAGAATCAGGTGTGCTCACCTGACTGGGTCAGTACATTTTCCAACCAGGGGAAAAGCAATTTCTTAGACCAAGATTTCCTGCTTGGGAAAATAGTAATACGATGGGGTGTATAAAATGGCAGGAAATCAGGAGGTAGGAAGAAAAATGTTGATAAAATCCAATTTTTCACCCCTTTAAAAATGTTGAAATCATTGTTGCCAATGTAAGTTTTCATTTTTTAAAAAGAAAAATGTAATTTATCTGTGTATAAAATTAATGGTTCTATTTAATACCTTATATATTCTAGACTCTAAAATGGTATTTAAGATTTCTTGCTCACAGTTTTATTAAGAATTAGGCAAATATTCAGGGCTTACTTGCCTACAAAACACACACACGTTATAGCAAATCAAGTGAAGAGCTTTGAGACATCCTGATGTGAAAGGTGCTACATTAATTTCAAGGTTTATTAGTAGCATTATTATTAATGTTAATTGCAGGGATTTAGAAGAGGTAGGGTGGGGCAGGACAGTGGACTGATTTAAAAGAGAAGACGAGGATCTTGAAGTCAGTCCTCTGAGAAATGGGAAGCCAGTGGAGCCGGGCGAGGATTGGAGTGAAAATCTGGCAGGTATCCATCTCACTCATGGGGTAACCATAACTTGGCATGCATGTTTTGGGGGCTTGTATACTTAGGTGGCAACCATTCCTATGTATCTCCATTGGAATTGCTCTTGCTTAAATAGTGAATTATTCACAAGAATGGATGAGGACATGCCACTGTGGGAGTTTAAGTTTGCCTTTTGCATTCTATATTTTGTATTCCATAGCATGTATGAGAAGCAAGGTACCAGAAAGAACCTGAACACCCTGCAACAGAGCAACAGGTAGCACTGCCATTAATCCCAGAGCAAACGAACAACAACAACAACAAATTACATTTGTATAGCGCCTTCCACATCAGGAACCAGACCAGAAATGTACAGAAAGAGTGAGGCCCAGAAAATGCAGGGAACACATAAGGTGGAACTAGTTACAAACAATGAAGGGACAATAACAAAAATGATAATAATAATCCTTGCATTTGATATAACATCTATAATATCAAAAGGGTTAAAATGCTTCATTGGAAATTGCTGTTAAATGTAGTCTCTGTATAGTTTAAGGAAAAAAAGTGGCAGCCAATTTGTATACAGCAAGATCCTACAAATATCCACAAAGGGAATGATTAATTTAATTGGATTACTGATGGCCAGAATAACAGGAGAGACTTGTAATGGTATCATTAACTCCGACCTGAACAGGTAGGCAGGACTTGGTTTAATATCTCATCCAAAAAATGGCATTTCTGGCAACGTAGCATGCCCCCAGCACTGTCAAAGGGTGTCAAAGTCCTGAAGTGGGCCTTGTATAACTTGGTCTTCAGTTCACAGGGAAGCTATCACTGGAGCTATAAAAGAATGGGAAAAGTTCCCATGGAGACCAAACTGGTGAATGATTTGCTAGAATTCCACATAAAGGCCTGCACTGAGTTACTACAGACCTCACTCCAGTAGGAGGCATCTCTCCTTGTTAGCTTCACTGGTTAGCAATGAGTATGTTATGCATGGTTACTCTGCCAGTTGTAGTTGTGTTTCATTCTGTACACCCACTGCACAGGAAACAGCTTGCAAAGGCAATCTCTGATGCACTCTCCTTTTAACCTTTCCACCTTCTTGTTGCTACAGAAAAATGCAGCCTGCCAGCCTTGATGCTCCCACGTGTATTCAAGACTGCTGTTGTCTCCATGGATGTTCTTCTAAAACATTAGGAGAAATATTTTATCTGGTACTTATGTTTGGAGCTTGTTTTGCAGCATAACCTCTAATTACAGGCAATTCTGCCTGTAAGTGAAAAGAGTGGTGCTACATTTGCTGAATGAGGAGTGGAAAATAGACGTAACTGCTGAATTGTCTCCAAGAAGGACTCAGTTAGCTAAATTCGCCTGGTTTGAATTATGGACACTTTATAACAGTTACATAATAATAATAATAATAATCCTTGTATTTGATATAGTGCTTTTCACATCTTCTAGATGTCTCAAAGAGCTTCACAGCAGATACTGTAAAGTGAATTGAAGGTATATTTGTGGGCAAAACACAGCAGCCAATTGCACACAGCAGTGTCCCACAAATAGTCGTGCATTGAAGTGACCAATTTTATTACTGTTTTTTTTCTACATTCATGGTATTTTAGTACAAACTCCTGGTTTTTGATTGCAGTTTACCCCCTCAAGCAAGGGAAATCAAATCCTCAAGTTCGGATCAGGATTGATGGGCCGATTGGCCTCCTGCTACTAGGATAGTTCAATATTTTTCCTGAACTCTCTAGATTTCTCAAGATCTTAGAGATGATGTTGACTTGGTAGGTCTGCGATGATTCTCACCCCTAAATGTACATCTGTGTTATGTAAAGCGCACAGTGTACCAAGTGGCCTCTGTGTAGATTCTTCTCTGTGAAGTGCAAGTTCCTTCTCGATGTGAAACTTCACTAT